ACACACACACACACACACACACACACACACACACACACACACACACAGAGAGAGAGAGAGAGAGAGAGAGAGAGAGAGAGAACATATTATGCCTGAGTTCACTCATGTAACATTCCTAGGACAGCCTTAGTCATAAATATAGCATTTGTAATAATAATGGTATAAGTTGAACAATGAACTACTAGAGATGGATGAAGGAGATAGATAGTTGCATAAATTTGTTTAATGCCACAGAACTAGATATTTAAAAGAAAATTGTAAAGACAAACCTGATGTGGGATTTCCCTCTGTAGGCTATGAATATTTGATTAGCATTTCTTAATAAAGAAGCTCCTTTGACATATAGCAGGACAGAATATGGTAAAGTGGAAAAATTCAAGCAGAGATAGAGGAGGAAAGAAGGCAGAAACAGACAAATGCCATGTAGCTACCAAAGGAGAAAGATGAGAAAGATGCCAAAATCTTACTGGTAATCCACAGCTCTGTGGCAATACACAGATTAACAAGAATGGGTTAACTTAAGGTATAGGAGCTATCTAGGAATACTCCTCAGCCATTGACCAAACAGTGTTGTAATTAATATAGCTTCTATCATAAATTCAGGGTCATCCAGGACTACACATTGAGCTAAAGGCCTGCTTGGGCTATATAGCATGACCTTGTCTCAAAAATCAAAAACAAACTGACTAAGCAACAAGAACAAAAAGGATTTCAACATCCAATTGTGACTAGAAGATTAAATTTTTCACATTCTCATGCACAAAGCAGACAATGGGAGTGGACTCAGGGGACTCAGCTCAGCTGTGTTGGAGGAACTCACCTGTTTTCTTCCCAGCCAGCTTGTTCATCAGGTAGGATTTGCCTGTGCGGTAGAGGCCCACAATGGCCACCACCACCACTGGCTTCTTGATGGCAGACAGGATCCTCAGAGCCTCCTGGTTGGCTACCAGTTGCCCTTTCACATTCTCAATGAGGCACACAGGGCCTGGCATGTGGTCCTCTGAGGCCATTGTTCAGGCTTGTCGTCCCCTGACTAGAGAAGGAGAGATGACATTAACTATAATCAATTCTTTTTTCTCAGAAGGTAGAGTAATCCAGTTCTTAAAAAACACAGAAGTTCTGTGTACATCAGAGACATAGGTGAAAGAGAATCTGTATAATTTTTGAATCTTAAAGAATATTATTAAAGTATTTAATTTATAATGTAAGAAGGACAACATTCTACTTCTCTTACAACACAAATATTTCACTTAGTTTACACTGAAAACTTTCCTTATTAAAGATTTTTACTATAGACATCAATTATAAATAGAGAATCAAATTCAGAGATGTTATTTTATATTGTAGTTGTATTTAATTAAATATTCAATTACTCATTTTTTATAAATTAAATTTATTTATTTTACATCTTTACTGAAGTTTTCCCTCCCTCTTCTCCTACCATTCCCCAATTAGCTCTTCCGTCGTTTCTGTTTAGAAAGGGGCAGACCTCTCATGGGTATCAACAAATCATGCCATATAAAAGTTGTAGCAAGTCTAAGCACCTCCCCTTTTACTTAGACTGGGCAAGTCAATCCTGTATGAAGAATACATTTCCAAAGCCAACCAATGCATTAGGGACAGCCCCTATTCTCATGGTTAGGAGTTTCACAAGTAGACCAAGCCACACAACTGTCACAAGTAGGTAGAGGACCTAAGTTGTTTCTATGTAGACTCCCTGATTGTTGGTTAAGATGCTGTGAGCGTGTTTGGGTCCGGGTTAGTTGTTTCTGTGAGTTTTCGTATGATGTCCTTGACCCCTCTGACTGCCACAGTGTTTTCTCCCTCTTTTTAGCAATATTCCTCAAAGGCAGCATAATGTTTGGTTGTGAGTCTCTGCAAATCTTCATCAGTTACTGGATGAAGCCTCTTGATGACAGTTGAGGTGGTCACCAATCTGATCACAGGACATGGCCAGTTCAGGCTACATATCATCTATTTCAAGGAGTCATCCTTGTAGACTTCTGGGGGTTTTCCTTACATCAGGTTCCTACCTGATCCCAAAATGCCCCCTTCCAGTCATCCCTTTCAGTACTCTCCTGTTCCATCCGTCCCCCAACCTGACCCTTCATGTTCCTATCACCAACCATCCCTAGTCCACATAGGAGATCTCTTCTATTTCCTTTTCCTAATTTAAAGCCATGGATCCCCTTTATTATCTAATCTCTCTGGGTCTGTGGATTGTAGCATAGTTATTATTTACTTTATAGCTAATATCCACTTATGAGTGAGTACATACCGTGTTTGTCTTTCTGGGTCTGGATTACCTCACTCAGGATGCTTTTTTTCTAGTTCTATCCATTGACCTGCAAATTTCATGATGCCATTTTTTTAACAGCTGAGTAATAAATACTCTATTGTGTAATTGTACAACATTTTCTCTATCCATTCTTCAGTTAAGGGGCATCTAAGTTGTTTTCAGAGTCTGGATATTATGAAAAAGCTATTATGAACATAGCTGAGCAAGTGATGGAGTATCCCTTGGGTATATGGTCAAGAGTGGTATAGTTGGGTTTTGAGGTAGATTGACTCCAAATTTTCTGAGAAACTACCATATTGTTTTCCAAAGTGGCTGTACAAGTTTGCATTCCCACTAGCAGTGGAGGAGTGCTCCCTTTGCTCCATATCCTCTCCAGCATAAGCTGTCATTTGTGTTTTTGATCTTAGCCATTCTAGCAGGTGTAGGATGAACTCTCGGAGTAATTTTAATTTGCATTTTTTCTGATGGTTAAGGATGTTGAGCATTTCTTTATTTCTCCTTAGGTTTTCTGAGCAGTTTCCATTTGGCAGAGAAAGGAGAAATGCAAAGAGGAGGAAGAAAAACACTGGGAATCAGAGACTAGGAGCTGACCAGGTAGAACAAAGCTGTCAGGAAGAATGTGATGAGAGAGAATGGTGCCTGGTTGGGGTTCTGCTTTCTAGAAGACAGTAGGAGTGGGAAGGCATCAACTCTGCTCCAACACTGACCATGATCATTTAACCATGCCCATCAGCAGACTGCGTGAGCACAGAGAAAGACAATCCCAGTGTTTCTCACTCTTGCTAAAACCACACATATTCTGCTCCCTAATTTACAGCAAGTCCTATAGTGACCCCTAGAGACTGGCTGCCCTGATCATACCACCCAGGTTCACCTGCAGCTGTGCCCTAGCCATGCCCAGGAGCAGCCTTTTCTAGTCACAGTAGTTCTAGAGAAAATGAATTAGCCCTCAAAAATGCCATCTAGTTCATGCCCAGGCTGATTAACCCATGTTCCAGAGCAGGGCTCCCCAAACCTAGCAAGAGCAAGTGCTCCTTAGCCTCTCTTGCTGCTCAGCACAGGTGAATGGGCTCTGTTGCTGTCTTATTTCCTCACCAAATTGTGAGGCTTTATGGTTTGCCCCTAGTGAACAAATATTGAACAGCACTGTAACCTTTGTAGCGGGTTGAAGTACTCAGAAACTAAAAACATTCTGACCATGGAAGTAAATAAACAAAACAGTGCAAAGCCTTCATTGGGCTGGGTCACTGGGAAGTTTTAGTAAGCTTTGTCAAGACTTTCCAACCAGAACATGAAGTATTGGGATCGAAAAGATCTTGAACTCATTTGCTGTTTACAAATACTTCCATGTGATATAGAGTCTATGGAATAATTTTCATCTTTGAGGCCAATTACAAAAGTATTGATGAGGAGGAAGGGTATAATTCTTTTAAAGTCTAATTTCTGAAAATGATGTAAGAGGCCCCCAGACCTTACCACAGCTGACTTCATGATGGAAGTGTTATCCAGGCCATAAAACTCAGCATGTTGACTGCGTTGTCAGCCAAAATGAAAACAAAGGCCTAGATCTTCAAAATCCATAGTTCTGTGAAAGTCTCTGAAAGTACTAACTCTGCTTTCTGACTTCTGTATTTCTTCTTGTGGCTAACTCTTCTCATTCGCTGAAGTATGTCTACCAAGAACATGGATTCTGTGCTTAAAAGGTCATGCTCAGAAAGGCTTGAACTACTCTGGGATTCTGAACACCCAGTGTAATCACTGGCTAGCTAATAAATAATTATTATTGGTTTAAAATGGTGTCCAAACAGTCTTCTATGGTATATATGTCATAGCATTTCTCGAGGTCACACAGAGATCCCCAGGGTTCAGACCCTGAGACACTGTGTGTCTCAGAGCCCCTCAGAATACGGATGAGTGCAGTGGTCAAGGCATTCCTCAGGGGTGCCAAACCTGGGGTGTTCCAGGTCCCCAAAACTCCCTTTGGTCAACTGTCACCTAAGGTTTCTGAGGATTCTGACACCTCCACCCCAAAAAGAAGCAATTAGAAAGTCTCCTGGCCTGTCACCTCTGGAGTGACAGTCTGGTTAAGGTGCTTTCTGTTTGTGTCCACAGGAGAGGTTGACAAAGGCTGCTGATCCAGTGTCCAGAAAGGTGTGAGACTTCACCAGATTCCTGTCTGCCAATTCTTTCTCCTGGTACTGACCAATGGCTTTCTCTGGTGTGATAACCCCTCCCAGGCTTAAGACTTTGCCCCGTATATTGGGGAACCAAATTCTTTTGGCTCTGCCAGATCACCCAGAGAAACAAACAACACCCCCAAGTCCCACTTTGGAGTTCTTGCTTGTTTCATGGCTTACTAATGCTCAGGGTCCCCAGTTGTCCTGGTCACCATGTCAGGGTGGGGCCAAGCCTCTCATCCAGAGCACCATGCTATCTGAGCCGAGTGTACAGAAGGAAGGAGAAATACTTTCCCAAGATCACTGCCTGCTCTACACAGCCCCACAGAAGAAAACAGAAGGAAGTTTTCGTCTTTCTTTATTTTTGTGGTTTTTTTCAATCAATGATCCCTATAATTGGACAATTCAAAACTCACTATTCTCTAAAAATAAAATTAAACAAACAAACAAATGAATGAGTGAATGAAGTGGCTGGGTGAGCAAGAGTGTAGTTACCTGACAATGCAGCCGGGACAAACAGATTTTCTCTTCTGTCCAACACTGAATAGAAAGAATTTCAATACTATTCACTAGGCCCTGTTTAGAAAGATTAAAGAGAGCTGCTAAAAATATTTCCTTTGCTACTCAGTTAGCTCCAGATAGTGGTAAAAAGGTATAAATGTCAAAAAATTGTATAGACATCAGGAGGTTTAGTTGCTGGAGGTAGCTGAAAAGGTGTTTAAGAACAGAGAACCGATTAGGACAGGACCTTTTGCCCAAACTGAAACCCCCCCCCCCCGCCGGTCCCTCTCTCTCTCTCTCTCTCTAACAATGAGATGCAGAAACCATACCTAATGACCCTGGAAATGAAAAGGAAAAATACAATCCTTATTTTGTGGCTTGGATGGACAGGCATCCTGGTGCCCTGCCTGAAAAGCACATTTCCTGGCTATAAAGAGACCTGGAACCTCTGATTCTCATGAGTCTGATTCCTCCAGAGAAACAGGAATACACTGTTTAGGACCTGAAAGATGCATTCTCTGGTCTCCCACTGGCAGAGGTGAGTCAACCCATTTTTGTTTCTAAATGGACAGATCCAGAGGGAGGTTACTGCTGGCTACTTTTGGAACCCGATTGCTTCAAGGATTTAAAAATTTCTCCAATACTGTTTGATGAGACTCCAAATGCCCTGCCCTTCCATCAGAAGTTTCCGAGGAAAACAGATTATAAAAGGGCACCGAGGGAAAGCTGCAAGAGTTACAGACCTTGGTCTGCAGATTGTCTGCTGGGAATTTATATATCAGAGGCTACCTGTCTTAGCCACAAGCTGAGACGGGCAAATGGAGCCTGTCTCAGAGTAGGATTGCCACCATCTTTCAGATCCCAGCTCCAAAGACTAAGACATGGGTTCATGAGTCTAGGTGCAGCTGGTATTGTTGCCTCTGGATACCGGAGTTTGCTCTGTACATGAGCAAAAAGGGAAAGGGGTCACTGAGTCACTAATCTGGAC